ACCTGTCCTTTTGGAAGAGCTCCAAGTTGGCACATGGAATTGCCTCCACTGCGAACGTCATTCCCTATAACTTGCTCAAAGGCATTGTTCGCCATCTACTTCAGCCTTTTGTATTGGTTGGTCTCATTGTGGAGCTTTGGCGAGCCAGGCGGGCGCGGAGATCGACGTGCGGGAGCTACGGGGGTGTCTAGTGGGCCTTTCGGCAGTAGCGCGTCCGGCTTCGGGACGGTACGTTCTTCTTTCATCCTGGCAATGGCACAGGGCGACAATGGACCGGGAGGACCCACGATGTCCGCCCTTACAGGGCCTCCTCGGATCCGGTTCGCGTGCTCGTTCAGCGGTTCTAAGCTTGCATAACATGACGGTCGGTCGCCCAGAAACTGCACGAGGTGTGGCGAGTTCACGTGGGCAACCCTGACTTTGTCAGCCCTTAGTTCAGCTTAGTGAGACAAAGTACTTTGCACAAATGTGTGCACCAGCTTAGTAGTGGTTGCAACTCCTCCAGCGATCAGAGTCAAACATCATGATCAACTTGTTGCGTTCGTTTTTTGTAATTGGTGAAGTCAGCCACAAATGGCTCGTCCACCTTTCTGTGACAGGTGTGTTTGATTGGGTCAAATCCCTCACAATTGCGAACCCCACGTCATTAGACCCCCGGAAAACCTTACTGAGAACCAGCAATGTTCGGGTGCGTCTCAAAACAGGGGAGTCCTCAAAATGGCGCGTTTCCTTTTTCGTTTCCCGCAACCTTGAAGGGATTTGGATTGGTTTGAAGGTCGGGGGGGGTTCGTCCTGGTTGCCATTCTCCAAAAGGGACGCTGGGTTCCACTCGCTGGGTTCCACTCGCCTCATTCGACCAGTATCAAAGTCCCCCAGGTGGTAGGTTCAAGGGAAGCCGCCATTTCCAGTTTCGGACTTTGATCACCATGGTTAAACTAATGACCTCAGAAGAATAGGCTCCCATTTCTGTGCATGTCCCTTTTGGATCAAAAGGAAACATACAGGGTTCCACGGCGGCTGCAGTCCGCGAAGCGCGAGGAGTACTGCACGGAGCTGCAGCAGTGCCGTGCCACCGCGCTGGGCCCGGAGCCGCCCAAGGCGACGCTCGGGGGGAGGTGGGCTGGTGGGCCAGGTGTGCTTTTGGGGTGTCCTTTTTTGAGGCTCGGCACGACTTTGGTGAAGGGAAGCCAAAAGCAGACACCGTTGCCATGGTTGCGGTCTACAAAAGACACACATACCAAGAAGTGCTGTGTGAGTTGGACTACTCAAAAGATGGGATCCGTGTGTTTGGTCGGGCTTCGGACACCTCGAGTTGGTTTGGCTTGCCTCTACAAACATTTTTGCTGGGTGCCAACCTTCTGGTGTTGGGTTTCCTGTTGGTGCCCCTGTAAGCATATTCAAAAAGGGGCTGTTTTGCTCGGGGAGGTCAGCGAACCTGTGATAATTTCAGTATCTTTCCCATGGATGAGGATAGAGCCCAAGCAACGAGGGGAACATGAAGGGCATCCAATGTAGGATTGGTTTCGAATTGGTCGAAGCAAGCAGACGCTACCACCAAATGAAGAGAAAAAAGGAGCTTGGTTAAGCACTAGTGAATCACTGCAGACCTGTTGACACAATTGTGTTGGCCCCTCCTTGATCCAACGCATTTCCTCACTTTGTGTCGTGGAAAGGCAGACGCGACGTCCGAGCTACATCGCCTTTGTTTCGGATTTGCAACCGTCAGACTGTCAGTAGCTATGATTAAAGGAGATTTGGGGTGCCAACAAAATGGGATCGACCAACAAAATAGCCAACAAGTGCAACCGTCAAGAACCATCAACAGAAGCACGACATATGAACCCAACCAGCAAACCCAAGCGACAGCAACAACCAGCAAACAGAAGCAAGAAAGTCAAGCAACCAAATCAAGTAGCAAAAGCAACGCACAAACTCCAGCAGCAACACCAAGCAACAGAAACAACCAACAAAACCAAGCAGCAAGAGCATGGCGTAGCATCCTGTCTCCTTTTGGCAGCGCAAAGTGGATCGTACCCTGAGATTACACCTAGGGCCCCTTTCCTTTGGGGTTGCCTCTCCAACGCAGCTCCTCTTGGTGTTCCGACTTGCCTTCCAAAAGGGTGGCATACCTCAAGAACCCATCAGTGAGTTTGACGGGATACAGGCGGGTCCCCCATCAAGAACCCTTTCAGAAGATGCTATGATTCTCAATATTTAGGGAACTACATCACAAGTGGTCGTTTGGTTGGCCGCGATGAATCCCCACTAACATGATATCCATGAAAGGGTCCCTAGAACTAGATGTCCCTGGAGCCGCTGATAGACGCAAGAAGGCTCACTCAATTCATCCTCCCGCCCACCAGCACAAAAACTGACAATCTGGGTCTCTCAAAAGGAAACTTTGGCTTCCAGGCACAGAGTGTTTGAAAGCACGATGGTCCCCCATTTGATTTCGTCACCCCCTCTACTTACCCACATAAAGAGAGTGCGTGCTCTACTTTTACCCTACCTTCCCGGTCCAGTGTTCTTGGGATATTCTCGCTGTGCAAGCCCCACGGAGCTTCTGACATGGCAACTTCCTCGGTCGGAACGGGTTCCCTTCAAAACCCAGCGTCTTGCCCCCTGGAATTCCATTTTTGCAACCCTCGTCAGGAAAAGGAGAAGAAACCCAAGAAGGTCAGCGGCGCGGCCCGAGTTGTTGTTCCTGGTGGTCTTGAAGCGTCACGTCTTGGGCCTTTGTCTAATTTGAGTAGCAACTTTTTTGGTGGGGTGATGCTTAGAGGGGACATGGGAAACCCTGTGGAAGCTCACCAGAACATTGGGGCTGGGAAGTTTCTCACGAAGCCTCGATTTATTGGAGGTCCAATGTCGAAAGAGGGACATGGAAATTGCGAGAAGCGACTCGCGACCTTTGTGCAATCCATGGAAACGAAGGATACCGATCAAAAGAAGGGAATGCAATGAGCTGGGGCGCTGAGCAACTGACCAAGTTTGGTTTCCCTTGAAGTAGGCCACTAGCTGGATATTAATCCGTTGTTGGTTTGCACTTGAGGTTCAGTCAAAATATCAGTAGTCTTGGGGGGACGTGGAGGACCGCATATTGTGACGGCTGTCTTAACACACAGTTCCCAACCAAACGGGTATTGTTCCTTTGTTCTTAAGCAAAAGCCACTTGCCCACAGTTGGCGTAGGACTTGAGCGGGCCAACTCGATGAGCAGACGGTCAAGTGAGGTTCGGTCAACATGTCGGTAGCTTGCATTGTTTCTTGCTTTTGGTGCAGTAGTCTACTGAGGGAACAAATTACATTTCCCACACAAGCTAGGGGACAACCCAATCTTCCGACGACATGCTCCTGGGAACCAGTTCAATTTGCATGTTGCGCATGTGGTCAATTTGGGACCCTCGCTGAGTTTCTCTCAAAGTTCGAGCGAACTGAAATTCGAAGGGGAGAGCTCCGGAGCCCTCCAGGAGAAGAAGCCAAAGGCAGAGAGGTGGGTCTCGAGAGTTCCAACGCGTCGTGTGCCCCGCTGGGTGTATCCCGGACTGCGATGGCATGAAGGGGGAGACCATCCCCCGCCCCCCCCTCCCCCCCGTTTTTGGCTATGTACCGGTTATGTATGGTGCTACCTCCAGTTAACTGGGAGGTTCTGCACCCTTGGCGATACCTGCCACGCACGGCAAGGAGTTAACACGCAGAGACTGGACATAACACCAGTGAGAGATGTGCCAGGAAGCCTTCTTTGGACTTTCCTTGGCTCGTTCTGGTCGAAAACAGAGGCATGAATGGAAGATTAGCCAACAGAACCTCAGTGCTGTTGCCAAACCATGGGGCAAATAGCGGACTCTTCTTGGACCCGGGTCCGGTCACCAGGTAAACCCTGATCATGGCCTTCATCAGCAATTGCTGATGAGAGACATGACTGATTCCGCCGCGCCGCTTCTGGCAACTTAAAAGGCAAATTATCACCCAGAAGTAGCTTTCTAGAAGCCCACTCTCTTGCACCATGACCTAACACTGCGCACGTCTCAGCAATTCACATCTCTGCCCTGGCTATTTCTTTCAAGATATGTTCATCTTCTCGGGCCTCAAAGTGGATCGACCTGGCAGGCTTTCCATGTTGTCCATGTTGAATCATGTATGTTAAATGACATGTACGAGCCCCGCCGAGTTGTATTAGAACCCACGTTAGTGTCATAGGACACATTTTTTCGCCACCAACATAGGTTCAGTTTCAGCCCCTTGCAGACATTCAGAGTACTCAGGGCTTTTCCCTTCGGAACCCCGGAAGCTGGGTCTCGTTCACATGCCGTGATGGAGTCCGACCCAGCCTTCGTGAAGCCCGGTGTCCCAGAGGTCCATGTTCATTGGCCTTGCTGGTTGGGGAAGGGAGGGTCTTTGGACAAAAGCCCGCCTTGAAGAGCTGTTGGAAAGACATGGCTTTCGCATACCTAGAAAAGGTCCGTTCGACCTGTTGAAGGAAGAGCAACGCAGGAAGCAACAGGGGGTTTGGCATCGAAGCCGATTCTCTGAAAGGAAGCCACAAGTTGGATGGTTGAGTTTGGGGTCCGCTCATTTGCTGAGAACCAGCAAGATTCGGGCCAAGCTTGGAGCCAAAGGTGTGGCCAAAGTTCACGCATGATTGTCCTTCGAAGGGATGCTCTGTTCAGGATTTCCTTTTTCTGTTTGCTTGGTGGGAAATTTTGTACCTTGGTGGGGATTCAAGTTGTTCTTTTTGAATGTGCCCATTGGCAAGGCCGTTTTCCCCCGCGCAAAAGAAAGCAACCCGTTTTCCCCAGCGAACCTTTAGCCGTTCTCAGCTCCTACCAACTCATGCACCAGTTGCGTTTTCAACATTCTAGGGTGTGATTCCCCATTCTTTTCGACAACCGGCCGTTTTCCCTGGGTTTAGCGAAGACTTTTGGCAAGAAGGATCCATAGAAAGAATGGAAAAGGTACCCCTAGAAACATCTTTTCTTGGAACGAACGATTCGGCCTGAGGGAGATCGATGCGCGGGCCGCCCGCGGCGCAGGGGAGCCAAAGAATGCGACAGGCTGAAACCCCGCTAGAGAGCCGGGGATCAGATCTCGACCTCACCGGCCCTCAGTTGGTCCATTTGGGGGGGTTGAAGGTTTATTTTTTTTGTTTTTTGGGGGGTTTGGTCTGGGGTTTAAGTTGTCAGTTGTGCATACACAAGAGGCATATTTTGCAACCTGCTTGCGGGGTGGTGCTTGCCCACCCCCCCGGCGTTGGGGGGAGGGGGCTGGAATAAGACAGCGCGCCGTGTCGACGTCGATTTGCAGTCAAGTCCACAGGTACAGATCGAGTTTCAGGATAGCGAGTCATGCTTCGTTTAGAAATCTCTAGGCTGCATGGAAGCGATTTTGGCTCACTGAGTTAGGAGGGTCGACAGACAAAGGTATTCTCGCGAAAGGGGGAGGATTGAAAAATATGTTCTTCACTGAGCACCCTTTTAGAGGCAAACCAAGAGGAATACCATCTTTTGGTCTCCCTACTTTGACACAATCGATCCCACTCGTTCTTTTTTTTTTGTGCCTTTGGTTTCTGAGGATGCAGCATGTCAGACAGCGGCTGCCTGTTTGCAGGCGGATCCTGTTTCGTCTTGAGGCTCGCGGTGCTCGTTGCGAAATGTCCAGTAAAGATAACTCATCTCTGATCCCCACCAAAACTGGGCTTGGGGTATGGTAGCCATGTAGCACATGGGAACCGATCAAGCCAAGCGAAGCATATTTAGAATGCTGTCTAAACCCTGTAGTGCCAGGACAGTTTAATAGAAACACATACAACTTTTCACATGCACTTCACCTGAAACTTGGTGCCACGGACCACTTGGAACATAGGTTTTGGGGGTCCATCCATGCCAAGGTTTGCAAAGGCTGATTTCAAAAAAATAGGCCACACAGCGGGCCGCTCTCTAATGGAATTGGCGGAGGGTTATTATTTCCATTTATGGCTCCATCTTCCCTTGTATGGCGAAGACTATATGAATGGAATTGGGGGACCATCTTGAAGAAATGGGACCTCAAGGTAGGGGGGATCATGTCTGACGAGGAGTGTGGGGAAGGTCGGAGGATCCAGGACCATCGATTTCTTGTGGGTATTTCTGGTGGGTTTTGACCAACGCATGCCTTTTTTCAAGGTGCCTTTTGTGGGATTTTTGAATGGGCAAACCAAAGAGAAACCACCAATGTCAGGGACACCTCCTTTGAGAAAGAAGAACACATAACTTTTTGACTTTTGACCTGTGAAACCATTCGTATAGTTCAGCTTTCTGCAGTGCTTTTGGTTCTTTGCATGGTTTTGGGTAGGCTCCTTGATGGTGTCTCGTGGAACACATGGCCGCCCAGTAGGCTCCTTTGATACCGGATTTGTCGGGTTTCTTTAGAATTGCCAGTTTCAGCATCCCGGTTTGGTTGTGGAGCAAACTGTTATCACATTTTCTCGACTTTGGCCAAAGTCTAAGCTGGGGTTTGGCTTTGCATCGGGAACAGAGAATCTGGCGCGCTTGGTCACTAGCATTTGCTGAACTGGCGCTGCAGGCCATGCGATCGGTGATCTGCAGCAACAAGTGCGGAAACACGGCGGCTGCCTACTTCGCTGCAGTGGTGCCATGCTCAGCTCTCCTGAGGCTGCTCACCCGACGAACCCGTTGAGAAAGGAAGCCTTGAGAAGAGCATGGAGAGCATTGCTTCGAGGGGTTTTCTTTTGGAGCAACCTTGAACTTGCGGAGCCAATGATGGTGAGCTCACCCTGGCGGGAAAACAGGGTTAGTCATGAGAAAGGTTACTTGATATTGGGGAATCCGCTCATGCAAGTTGCTTGTTTGCTTGTTTGCTTGTTTGCTTGTTTGCTTGCTTGCTTGTTTGCTTGTTCGCTTGTTCGCTTGTTCGCTTGTTTGCTTGTTTGCTTGTTTGCTTGTTTGCTTGTTTGCTTGTTTGCTTGCTTGCTTGCTTGCTTGCTTGCTTGCTTGCTTGCTTGCTTGCTTGCTTGCTTGCTTGCTTGCTTGCTTGTCATTTGTTTGTTTTGTTTGTTTGTTTGTTTGTTTGTTTGTTCGTTCAATTTGTGTTTGCTCGTTGGTTGCTTGGCTTGGCTTGGCTTGGTTTGGTTTGGTTTTGTTGTTAGATGTTGTTGTGTTTTGCTTAGTTGTTGTGTTCTGTTGCGGTTGTTTGCTTGCTTGCTTGCTTGTTTGCTTGTCTGCTGATTCGGCCCCCGGTTTCAGGTCTCCACGCTGCAGCGCCAGTTGTCGCAGAAAGGCGCCCTCGAGACCCAGGAGGAGAGTGCGCAGCGGTGTGGGGGTCCTTTGGCGGGCTCTAGGACTTGACTCGCAGGAATACAGGATTCAATCTGGAGATGATCCCCTTGGACTAGCGCGGATGGGCAAGATGCTGCACCCGTTTCGATCGATGAACCCCTAAACCGGGATAAATGCGGCTGGTGCAGGATTTTGTCTTAGCACCCTTACTGGTCTCCGGTGCGTTTTTGTGCACCTTGTTTAAAACTTCCGGCACGTTGCAGGGGAGTAGTATAATACAACCTCATTCTGCGTATTTAGGCCTGCACTTTTAGTGCTTTTGCCGGACATCTGTTCTCCTCATATGCCCATTTCCGACGCACGCTTTATACACCTGATGCACCACACACGCACACACGCACACACGCACGCATCAATGGGTTGGCACTAGTTGAAGGGTGACTGTCGCAGTGCATTTGCAAAAGCACATGGACCAAATGCCATAAAATCAGCAGCTGTTGAGACTGCCCGATTTTTAGACTTGCAAGGCTTTCTGTCTGTTTGCCGTCTTTGTTCCCCGTTCTTTCCGCACCGCACGGGCTTCGCACCGAATCCCCAGAGAGACACCCGCTTGCATCCCTAGCGGCAAGGCCTCTTTCCAGGGTCAAGAAAGGGGGATTGCGGGCCCCCTCAAAATTGAGCCATCAAATTATCGGAATCTCCGAATTCAAAAGAAACAATGGACAATCAACTTCTTGTTCCGAAAACCTCATGGGAACACCAAGGGTATGAAACTTGTTGATAAAGACGGGACTGCCCCCTCCCCCCCCCCCCCTTAGCGGGCTTTTTGTGTTGTTTGTTAGGGGGACAGCCCCGAGTATTATTATTCTTTTCAAAATCAGGTGGTTTCACCATGATAAGCGGGACCGGTTTTTCACTCGTGGAGACGGTGAAATAACCTGCTTTCCAAGGGTGAAGCAAACCAAAAGAGTTGAAGCTTGGACAACCGTTCCCTTCGATTCCCTTTACCAGGGATCTTGTTCTACCAACTTGCGCGCCTATAGGGTCTTTCTAGCAAGCTGGTCTTTGAGATACGCGCAGATCTTTATTGTAACTTCAGTTTGGTTTTTCTCATGTACCTGTGCCAACGGATTTCTCTTGGTATGAAACCCAAACTCAGGTAGCCTTCCATTGTCTGTTTGGATGGATGGCTTGGGCATTTGAACCCCTGGTTCTTGCTGAGTGTAAATGCGCAAGCTGCAAGTCACCAATCCCACTGACTCACCAAACGAACGGAGGCTGACAGGCATGTTTTTGGCGCCCACAAATCTGTCCAGTCTCTTTTTAGCAGGACAACTCTAAACCAAAGAAAGAGGCAGGCGAGGGGCGGCTCTGTCAGGACAGCTGCTGCGCGCTGCTTTTGATCCTCCGCAAGGCGGGGTTTTCAAAATTTGTTGGACTCTCTTAACAATACCTCTTGTTCCAAAATTTCGCAATACATCCAGGAGTTGTATTTTTTCCCCAAACAGCGAAGCATTGGGGTTCTAACTTGAGGTATAGAGAATGGGAAAGTGTGACGCCGGTTCCGGGCTCCTGTTTTCCGCTTGTCTTCCTGTCTCCCAGTCTCTCCGGTCAGATGCCAGATGCTGTGACGGTCGTGTCTCCCGCTTGTCTCCCTGTCTCCCAGTCTGCGGTCAGATGCCAGATGCTGTGACCCCGGCTCCGGGGTCGTGTCTCCCGCTTGTCTCCCTGTGTCTCCCAGTCTCTGCGGTCAGATGCCAGGGGTCGTGTCTCCCGCTTGTCTCCCTGTGCTGCGGTCAGATGCCAGATGCTGTGACGCTGTCTCCCATGCCAGATGCTGTGACGCTGGCTCTGGGATCGTGTCTCCCGCTTGTTTGCCTGTGTCTCGCAGTATGTGACGCTTGCTCTGCAGTCTCTGCAGTCAGATGCCAGATGCTGTGACGCCACCTCCGGGCTCGTGTGTCCCACTTGTCTCCCTGTGTCTCCCAGTCTTTGCGGTCAGATGCCAGATGCTGTGACGCCTGGGTCGTGTCTCCCGCTTGTCTCCCAGTTTCTGCGGTCGGATGCCAGATGCTGTGACGCTGGCTCCGGGGTTGTGTCTCCCGCTTGTCTCCCTGTGTCTGGATGCCAAATGCTGTGACGCTGGCTCCGGGGTTGTGTCTCCCGCTTGTCTCCCTGTGTCTCGCATCTCCCGGGTCGTGTCTCGGGCTTGTCTCCCAGTCTCTGCGGTCGGATGCCAGATTCCCCATGAAGTCGATGAATAACATCGATGCTTTTACCCGGCGTCAAGGAGATGGATGGACCCGATGTATCCTCCGCACCTCACATGAAGGAGACCCGTTTTTTGGTTATACAGACCTGTCATGTGTTTTTGCTGTTTGGGGTCGAGGCTGGTGTAATTTTGGGAGAGTGGTGTTCCAACGCAGAAAGTGGTGCTGTAATACTTGCGAGAAAGCGAAGACTTGAAGGTCCAACTCTATCCTTGTCGCCCGTGGTTGGGCAGCATCTTCCATGGCCTCAGCGGTTGCGTCTTTGTGCGAAGTTTGAGACAGCGACTCCAAGTAATATGTGTATATATATATATTACATTCATACTATGTATATATATATATATTTATAGAGAGAGAGAACCCAACATGTCGTTATTGATTTTTGTTTGCATTGTTTGGGTGTGCCAGGAGCAGCGCTCCTTGCGTGGGCGACGATCAGGGTTTGCTGAGCAGGAACCTTTCTAATTGTTGTCTATCCTTAGCAAAGGGGTGATGACCATTTTGAAGCAACACAAAGAAACGGGATCGAAAGAAAAGGGGGTGATTAAACCAAGCTCCCACCAACGATTTGAGTCCTCCTTTCACGTCCAACCAAAGTAAGGTTCCTACCCAAAGTAGAAGGGGTCTTCTCACCCTCCATGAATTTGATAGGGAACATGGTTGGTGTACATGAATCCCCACCCACATGATGTTCATGAGAGGGTCCAACCACTGAGCATTTACATCCGCATGTGTATCTTGTTGAAGGTGCTAGCTTTCTTGGTGGTAAAGGGATTCATGTACACCAACCATGTTCCCTATCAAATTCATGGAGGGTGAGAAGACCCCTTCTACTTTGGGTAGGAATGGTCAGCCCCTTACTTTTGGTTGGACGTTGAAAGGGTCCGCATCCCTACTGTGAGACAGGCCATGTGGTTGGTCTCTCGCTCGTGAAGCCTTCCAGGCGGTGCCTGCTGCGCCCAGCCTCGCAGCAGCTCGTTGGGGGCCCGGCCGGAATGGGCGGGCTTCGACCCATAAGAACGGTTGGCCCAATTTGGAGGAAGCTCCAGGACGTTTTTTTCCCTCTTTTTTTACAACCCATTGATTTAATGGGCATAACTCAATCCCACAATTTGGGTTCCTTGGAGAAGTAGGGCCCCTTAAAGGATACACGCGGGCCAGGTAGACACCACCCCAACTGGCTGATCTTCCAGGATCCTCTTGTAAGGCAGGTGGTCTTTGGATGGGTCTTGGAAAAGACTAGCCAGGAAACCGTTGCCATTTTGCAGGTCTCTTTTTGAGACAAGTATTGGCACGATATATTATCATTATGAATGTTATTCCCTTGGTGATTAGTTTCATGGGCCCTTCCTAGTGGGTTCATGCAGCCATTTTGGCCGACCGGATTTCTCGCAGTCAAGGAGCTGCTTTTGCTTTCTGCTTTGGATTGCCCGTCATGGGGGAGGGTTGGGCAAAAATAGCTTCAACAACACCAACCCTGGAACCCTTAAAATGGTTCCTTTGGGTTTCTCTTTGAACCAAGCCCAAAAAGGGTTCCTTCAAAAGCCGACAACCCCACATCCTGGCTCATCATTTTAGCGGGCAAAGACGCAAGATGTCACCATTGACGCCCTTGTGAAGCTTCCTTGGCTTCAGCGCACTTCGGATTGCACGGCAGTCGGCAAGTCGAGTTTGCTGAGCGCCATGCCTTGCGTGGCAGTGCTGCTGGAGGATGCGCCCCGTGGCCAGCGTTTCAACGTTTGGCGGGGGCTGCTTGTTTTTTCTTTTGGTCTGTTTTGGGCCGGTTTAATGTGTCTGTTTTTGGTCTTTTTTTGTCTGTTTTGTTTGGTTTATTTGGCTGAACTGACTTGGGCTGGGCCGGTTCAAACCCGTGTGACCCCTCGGCTTTTTGGCTTGGTTGGCCTGGGGCCCAAGCTTCTGGTAAGCCAAGCCACGGCGGTATACCTGCAAAGCCTTGCCCCGAAAAGGCTGACTCGGGGTTTAGTCATTTGCTGGGGCCTTGGGGCCCTTCAGGGTCAGTTTCTATGCGCCTTTCCCTTTTCCCACTTTTTCCCCCCTTTTTTCCCCTTTCCCTCCTCGCATGGACGCTTTTCCCCTTTCTCTTCTTTTTTCAGGAAGTACTTCCGGAAGGACTGCTTTCCGGAGCTCAGTCTGCGCGAGGCCTTGGCTTGGCTGCTGGCCGTGGCTGAGTCGTCGCCCGAGCTGATGCGGAGCTTGGGGGCGCCTGAGGGCCTGGACGCCTGCCGAGACGTTTTAGCAGGCGAAGGGTGCCAGGGGTCAGTTCGGCGTCGAGGGTTTAAATGATTTGTTTTTCTTCATATGTTCTTTCTTTCTTGGGTTTTCCCAAGGCATTTTCTCATCAATTTCTTCAGGGCTTTTCCCATAGGATTTTTGAAGCATTTTTCGAGAGAAGGGTGGTCCCGGAGTTGTTGGGCTGTTGGGCTACCGTTGTTGGGTTGTTGGGTCTTGGGCGGGCTGTTCGGTTGTTGGGCTGTAATTTGATAGGTTGTTGGGTTCTTGGGCTGTTGGGTTTGTTGGCGTGTTGGGCGACAGGGAAAGAGAGAGAGAGAGAGATGATATTTCTCGCGGCTCTTGCTTCTGGACTTGCACTCTTTAACTGCTAGCGCGGCTTTTGCTTCTGGACTTGCACTGTTTGACTGCCAGTCAAGTAGTAAGCCAAACAGCATGAAGGCCAACACCAAGACGGCAATGATGCTGGCCTTTGCTTGCATGGCAGCCATCTCGATGGCTTGCCCGTGCACCTCTTCATGGGCAGCGACGCTGCCGGGAATTGTGCACATGGTGTTCGCCATGCCGTCGGCAGGGGTGCTGCTCATGGCCCCCAAGGGCAAGGGCAAGAAGAAGGCGAAGGCCAAGGCAGAAGGGGCAAGAGAGGAAGAAGGAGAAGGAGGAGAAGAAGCGCTGAAGACGCGCAAGAGGAAGGCCAACTGCCCCCCCAGAAAAACGCCGGTGCGTGGCGCTGACGTGGGGTGGAGGGAGGTTCTTTCTTGCGAAAAAGGCGGGGTTCTGCGGCAACCAGGAGAAAGGCCAGCAGCACGGCGTCTTGAAGGAGAAGGTAGAGCCAGAGGAAGAAAGGCTGGTGGCAGTGGAGAAAGAGGCGCTTGAAGAAGCTTTGGCGATTGTTCCACAGTGGCAGACCGCAACACTTGCAGCTTCTCCCTGCCTCTGGGCATCTTCCTCGAAGGTTTGCCTGCACATGCGCGTCCAAGCCTGGAAGAGCGAGCTGTGCAGCGCCTCTACAATGAAGGTGCAGAAATCCCACTGCCAAACGCGCTCTGAAGGTGACAGCAGTGCAGGCCACTGTCAAGGAGGCCTGGCCCATGGGTTATGCCATGGCTTTTGACCTGGGGCTGACCTCCTCAGACCCTCTACACCTTTGTGTTTTTGGGCTGGAGAATGGAAGGGCAACCTTGGACATCTTCTATACGCCTACATCCACCGTCTTTTCCAGGCATTGTGGAGGCTTCCAAGACGATGGTGTGGGGCACGTTGGAGACCAAGCACTCAGGCCCAATTGGCTCAGAGCTTGGCAAGTTGTTGCAGGCGTACTCACCCCTCAGCCACCTCATTAAGGCCAACGCAGACTACACGTTCAGATTCACAATGAAAGACGGCAAACAGTGCAGCAGGCGCTCCAGGTTCCCCAAGACATGATGAGGAGCTTTGCGAATTTGCCGCCCACGAAGACACGCCTCTGGCACTGAGAAGGATCCCCTTACTCTTTTACAGAGACTTCGTCAAGGCCGAATTGGCGGGAGCTGTCCAGGGAGGCATTTTTACAGGAATGAGAGACTCTGGACCAGCAAAGCTTGCTTGATGCAAAAATACTAGCAGAGCCCAAGCATTGTTTTCAAAGGTTTCTTTCGATTTGTTCCTGCAGGGGTTTGGGTTTTGGAACAGGATTTGGAGGGGTTTGCCCAGAAGCTGCCCCGGGATTTTGTCGCAGACTTGTACCAGGGTTTTCCAAAGTTCCCCAGGATATCCCGTTTTTTTTGGTGAGGGGTTTTTTCAAAAGGGTTTGTCCCAGGGTTTAGCGCACGAACTGTCCGAAGTTTTGTGCTGAAAGCTCGTGCCGTGCGTGTTGGGCGATGGTGATGCTGATGATGCTGGTGGTTCAACGCAAAAGCTGTGTTTTGTGCTGAAAGCTCGTGTCGTGCGAGGGGTTCTTTTGCCCTCGCAAAGGGCTTGCTTGGATGAGTGCAGTGTTACTAGCCACGCAGGGTATAAGCGCTGAAAACCTTTTCAGAACAAAACACATGCTTGCTGTTTGCGTGCCGAAAGGTCGTGCAATGCGCCTGCTTACTTGCAAAAATAGAAGAGCTGCTAACCAAGCTGTATGGCTCACAGGGATCGTTCCATTTGGGAATGTGTCTAAATAGGAGTTTCTCCCATTTTGGTTGGTATTTCAATCGCAATCAAGACCTACAGCGGGAGGACAATAGTGGTGCTCGTGCTTTTGGGCTTTGCTTAAACGAACCATCCAACAACACACGCGCACACACCAATTTCCTTTTGCGTGGTTTAAGCATCAGCGTTGAGGCAAATCATGATGCAGTTTCCTTGTGGCGGGGAAGCCCTCGATTGTTCAAAATCAATCCCTGGCCCTCCGGATGCCAGATGGTCGTGGTTCCCTTGCAGTGGTGTCCGGAATACGGATTTGGATGAGGGACATCCCGTTTTGCACAACCCATGCGTAAATATGTTTGAACAACCATTGGTTCCCTTCGGAAAATCAAAATGAGTTTGTTCAAAGCAACACGAGTATGCGGCCCCCCCCAACACCCCCGCCCCAATTGGGCAATCCCCAAAGTCGTGGTTTTTTTGTTTTCCTGTAAATCTCAAAAGCGCACCCACCAGTTTCTCACAACAACGAGAGACCTAGCAGGTGCGCTGGAGATCTGGCGGAGCCATGTGGTGGCTTTGCCCTCCCGAAATCCCCTGGAGCAAGACTTGGGAAAAGGTCAACGTTTGGTAAAATCTTACATCTTTGCCCTTGACTAGAATGATGGACCGCGAGACGTGGTTAAGAGTTGAACGTTGACTAAGTATTGATTCCAATGTTTCCCTGTGTGTTCTTTGAGGATATGGTCATGGCTGGTATGACTTCAGAAGGACAATCACCTCTCAGGGCTCTGAAGCACAACTCACCAGTGGGCCAGGAGGTTTCAGCCCTGAACTTGTGTGGCAGGTGTGGCACGATAAATTTTCATGCGGTTGTAAGGTATGATATTATAAAGGTTGCAGGGTGTGCGAATTGACCGCTCCAGATGTGCTCTTTCGCGTGCAGGGTTCTAGGGCATGGACGCGAGCGTTGTGGCGACCCAAAAGCGCAAACTTAAACTTTTATCCTGGCAGTGTGTCTTTGGCAGCTTAAGAAAATGGGGGAAGCGTGAACATTTTTTGGTTTCTCAAAGTTGTTTTTGGGGTGCTGGGTTTCATTTGCACGACAAAGGAAAAATTGGACTGCTCACATGCAATCCTTAATCCTTTCGTTGAGTTGCTCACCTTTGTTGTGGTTTCTTGGATTGGCAAACTTTGAATCTTGAACACCCGGGACCAAGGTCCACTTTGCCAACTAGATGCGTTCTTCTTCTCCCTCCATGTACACAACATATACACACGTTTATGCGAGCCTAAACCACATATATATATATACACAGATGTATATATATATATATTATATTTGATATAAATAAACAACTCAAGAAATACAATATATATATATACACCAGTATCTATATATATACACCAGTATATATATATATATATCTGTATACGTACATATGTATACACACTACACTTATAGGGCATATTTCCAGAAATACAGTTTCGCTGTGAGGAGGAACAGTTCCGGCGCCTGAGCAACGCGCTCGAGAAGCTGCAGGATTACGGCCTTGGGCTGCCTGTGGTGAAGGTTGACGTGAAGGCGATTCTTTTTTGGTTTTGGTGCCAAGCCTTGTTTCAGGCCTGAGTTGCTGATTGGATCGGCTCGGGGATTTCAACTCATGCTTCTTGTAGGGGGGAAAGGGAACCGCTCCCAACCATATCCAAATCCCCAACAACAAGCGGAACGCTTCCCTCTTCGTTCCTCTGCTCTTGTTGAAGGCACGCCAGTGTTTGGGTTCCCTCCGCTCTGTTCCCCCCAGCTGAAAGCTATGTCCCTGCCCAGAGGTTCGGAGTGGGTCCGAGGTTCGGTGGCGAGCCCCACTCTGGGCTGGGGTTCTACAAGGGTTCCGCGGGTTGGGGATGCCGCCGGGGCGTATGTTCCTTTCGTTTTCCCCAACAGACACAGCTATTTTGTTTTTGCGTTGGCCCATCATGGATTAGGAAACTGCGCTGAGGCAGTTTCTGGGTTTTCCAACAAGGGGGGGGTCCGTTGCGCAAGATTCCTTCGACAGTGCTCGATTCTTTCTGGGCCGATTAAAACATTATTTCCAACGATCCTCACGACGGAGCAACCCCGCTGGAGATACTGGAGTGTGTGGTTCAAATCTCTGAGAGGCATGACGTCTGTCTCAATGTGCATGCTATCATGCTCACGCTCTTTACCCAGACGCCTTCCCAGACTACTCGCCTACACGCAGATGGCTCTGTGCAAGTTGCTCTGCGCAAGTTCCGTGCAAGTTGCTCTTCGTAGTGCTCCGCGCAGATGCCTTGCACAAGTTGCTCCGCGCCAGTGCTCTTTGCAAATTGTTCTGCGCATGTCTGCGCAAATTTCCGTGCAATCATGTTCTGTGCAAGTTGCTCTATGCAAGTTGCCTGCGCAACGGTCAGCGCAAGTTGCTCTGTGCAAATTACGTCTTTCCTTCCGCGTGCGCTCTGCGCAAGTCGCCCTGCGCAAGTCTGCGCGTCGCTCTCCGCGAGAGCTCCGTTCAATGTTCTTTGCGCAAGTTGCGATTTTCCGCGGGAACGCGCTGCACGTACTACTTCTATACGGAAAAGTTGCGATTTTCCAGCCGGAGCTGCGCAAATGCGCTTCGCGTAGCGCACTCCTGCATTTCAGAGTCACGAGTTTCCTGCGGACCCAGCGGGAACCGAGCCCGCGACCCTGCAAAAACAAGAGCCGGCGCCAAAAGCACGAGACAACTTCTATCGACCAACTCGCAAGCAGCAAAAGTGACAAACTTCGCACGAGACCACACCGAGAGCATTCGACCACGCCGATCCCGCAGAGGGTTGGCTGCGCAGGATGGCAAAAGTCCTCAGTTTTTTGACATCGACCACGCCCATGGGTTGATCCGGGCACCGCAGAATCGTAAAAAAGTCCGCAGTCTTTTGACATCTTCCACGCCGATCCCCGAAGAGGGTCGTGCGAGAACCGTAGAAATCGTAAGAACGTCCGCAGTGGTTTGACATCGGCCACGCCAATCCCCGCAAAGAAGCGCAATCCTGTTCGATGACAACAGCCCTCCATTAAAAAAATGAATCTTACTACCGAGCTCTCTCAGGCGCGTTGCTCTGCGCAAGTTAGTCCAAGGGCTCCGCACGGAAGAACCCTTCGCCATTCTGTCGGGAAAATCCAACCTGTCAAAAACCTGCCGTTTCGCCTTCAGTATTTTTTGGCGCCGCTCTGTGTTCGACGCTCCGAACTGATTTTGTCAGGCGGAGGGCAGCTGGCAATTCGTTTTCGAGCAGGTCCTGCCGGCCTTCCGAAGAGCCGCTTTGCTGCAGGTCCCCATCACCTGGCTTCTCTTTTGCTTTTTCCCTTGATTTGGTTGGGCGCAAAGGCTGAGGTCGGATATCATGAAAATCGGCGCCAGGAAATCTACTCTCCCCAAACACCCACTGAAAGCCACGAGGGTTTGGGCTAAGGTACATTGGATTTTGCTGTAATTGGTTTCTTACATCATTACTTATGCCGACCTGGGATTTCAGTAGAACCTTGCGGATGGATGCGGTCTCCTCCGCCAAAAAAGGGAAGGATTCCTTGTAGAATCGGACACGCCCTTGTCAACCAGAGGTGCAGCAATTCAGCAGCGCCCGAAGCCCAAGTCCATTTGTAGAAGTTGGTTTGACAAGGATTGTAGTAAGCACTAAAATCTCTACAGCCGTTTTGGGTGCTCAATTGGATTCCATGAGGCCCCTCTAGTTTCCTTCGAAGCCCTTGGGAGAAGGTGGATGGTTGAGCGGGGGTCGGGGATCCAGCTAGGGGGTGCAACCTGGTGTGGAGGGCATCCCCCACTTTTTCAGGGAGTCATTCAAAATGTTCATTGATTCAGGCTTGTTGCTTAGAACTCTTTTTTGGATCTCCGTAGAAGGAACAGGGTCCGTCCCTCTGTTGGGGAAAGTGTTTAGCGCAACTTTCATTGTTTTGCCTTAGTTTCTCAAACCCTAGGCCAGGTCCGGTCACGACGGTGTAACCCATTTGGAGAACTTCCCTCCCCCAACTTACGCCAACCACCGACCAACCCCCCCCCCCCCCCAAATAAAAACAACGAACACCTTCCCCAACTCTGATATGAGACTCAACCAGAATGTTCTTGAAAACTCACTACGTTTCCCACTTAAAAACCAGGGGACAAACTCAAATTGTCCCGCACCCCCTTGGGGGAATCTTTGTAATTTTGACTGTGGCGCATATCCATTTGGGTATGTCACATGTCTTTTTGGAGGTTGAACATCCCAAATTGGCTTCGGTTCTCTTTTCGGTTTTCCTTCAACACCACCCCAAAAAGAGGTACCAAGCCACAAAAAACGGGCCACATTGACGCGCTGCAGGACCTGTGGCTGCAGGAGCCTCAGTGGTTTCCGGCGCCCGACTTCTGGGGGCAAGGCAAGGAGTGGGTCGGCAACCACGTCCAGGCGGAAAAATCGCCAGATTTGGTTCGGTCCCTTAAAGGGAACCAACAGAAGGTCGTTTAGACACTGGCTTTAAGCATGATTTTTCCCCACCCCCAACCACCCAGACGTGTTTAAATTATGGTTTGAACGAGGGGTTGCCACAACCGTGGTTTAGGCACCTTGTCAGTGTCGACTCGGTGAGGATGATGCCCTGTCTTTGCTGCCAAGAGGACAGGTTCGCTGAAGGTTTTCCTGCTGGTTCAAAGTCTCTAGTTGACCCATGTCCATCAAGGACAGCAAAGCAAAATGACTGCGCGCGAACGTGTGCACCAAAAAAACATGTTGTTCTTGAAGCGCCCCACAAAATGTTCCAGTCCCCAGGCCACCAACCCCACACGGTCCCCAGACCCCCTCCTGCCCTGAACTCACCCCTTCCATCCCGACACGTAGGACAACTCAACCCACAACCAACCCCAAACCCCGACCCTAAACCAATCCTACCCTAACCCTGAACCCAACCCTAAACCAACCCTAAATCAACCTTAAACCAACCCTAAGTCAACCCAAAACCCACCCAAAACCCACCCAAAACCCACCCTAAACTCACTGTAAACCAACCCTTGACCAACCCAAAACCAACCCTGCACTAGCCCTATGCCCAACCCAACCCTAAACAAACCCAAGCCAGGAGGGGGGCGGGGGGGGGGGGTCCACGGCCTGGAGTGTATATATATATATATATATTTGTATGCATATGTGTGTATATATATGCATATTTACATATGTACATTCCATGTTCGTTGCGTTTGCTCTTGAGAGGACCTGTATGTCTTCTTGGTGCACACGGGCAACCTGTGGACGACGGTCGGGGGTGAAGTGCAGCATGGCTGCCATTTGGACAGGAGTCCTTAGCTTCGGCTGGTTCGGCCTCTGGCCTCGTTTCAGCCATCGAAACCAATTCGGGTAGAGGTTCGCAGCCATGGAATCGCTATTCTTGACAGAGTTTTGGGCAGATCCCAGGCTTTGTTTGACAAACATATGCTGTGGGCAGTATACATATATATATATACCGCAAGGCAGGTTCTGTTGATCAGGTCAGGGCTGTTGATTGTTTGGCTTATTCGGGGATCGCATCCCATGGTAGGCATCCCAAATCCGGGCTTGACGCTGACATGTGGTTCATGGTAGGTTAATGTATTTTGTTAGAGTAGTCTAAGAAATCCTGGCAGTGTTTAGGTTCTCGGCCAATTTTAACAGGGGATTCCCTTTCAACAACCGTCTGGAACCCGCGTCGGGCGATTCGTGAGGAGCTTTGCTGACACCTGGCGGCGAGAATGGGACGAGGAGGTGCTGAAATACCCGTGGGCGCAAGTTGTTGAGGGAGGAGATGTCGCTCAGATTGTGGTTTGGAGGACGACCTCCTCAAATTGGCAGGATCTCAGAAACTGCAAGACTGGGCGCTCAGGGATCAACGCGACATCCTGGTGCTTTGCTGCTGCCGACCGGGGCTTTTTCGATCGAACGGTGGGCAAGGATGTGTCTTTGGTACGTGAGGGGGAACTTGTCTGGCCCACAGACTCTGCCGACAAGAAGCGGCGGGTGCACACAGAAGGACGCTGGGCCCTTGGATGATCGTTTATGGATAACTTCTGTCACCCCAATTATGTTCGACAGTGTTCAGCGTTAAGCGTGAGTCGAACGATCAAAACCGTCCTTGAAAGGATGGTAACAGGTGGACTCTTGTCGGGAGGGGGGTGGGCAAGCCCCTCGCTTTCCTCACATATGGGCTAAACCAGCCCATCGATTTTCTCAACGTGCCAAGACGGAAGGACTGCCGTTTGTGGAAACTGAAGAGGGAGCCTGGTTTCAGCTGAAGGGCGCGAGCTTCTTCACACACAAGGAGGTGCAGGCGAGCATTTCAGGGCTTCCAAGATTCCGTGTCGCCCGCTTGTCTCCCTGTGTCTCCCAGTCTCCGCGGTCAGATGCCAGATGCTGTGACGCCGGCTCCGGGCTTGTCTCCCGCTTGTCTCCCTGTGTCAGATGCTGGCTCCAGGGTCGTGTCTCCCGCTTGTCTCCCTGTGTCTCCCAGATGCTGCGACGCCGCTGCGGGGCTCCCTGTGTCGTGTCTCCCGCTTGTCTCCCTGTGTCTCCCAGTCTCTGGGGTCAGATGCTAGATGCTGTGACGCCGGCTCCGGGGTGGTGTCTCCCGCTTGTCTCCCTGTGTCTCCCAGTCTCCGCGGTCAGATGCCAGATGCTGTGGCGCCGGCTCCGGGCTTGTCCTCCCGCTTGTCTCCCTGTGTCTCCCAGTCAGATGCTAGATGCTGTGACGCTGGCTCCAGGGTCGTGTCTCCCGCTTGTCTTGCTGTGTCTCCCAGTCTCCGCGGTCAGATGCCAGATGCTGTGACGCCGGCTCCGCCGCTTGCTGTGACGTCTCCCGCTTGTCTCCCTGTGTTTCCCAGATGCTGTGACGCCGCTCCGGGGTCTTGTCTCCCTGTGTGTCGCGTCTCCCGCTTGTCTCCCTGTTTCTCCCAGTCTCTGCAGTCAGATACTAGGACGCCGGCTCAGGGCTTGTCTCCCGCTTGTCTCCCTGTGTCTCCCAGTCTCTGCGGTCAGATGCTAGATGCTGTGACGCTGGCTCCAGGGTCGTGTCTCGGCTTGTCTCCCGCTTGGCGGTCAGATGCTAGATGCTGTGACGCTGGCCCCAGGGTCGTGTATCCTCCCGGCTCCGCGGTCAGATGCTAGATGCTGTGATGCCGGCTCCGGGCTTGTCTCCCGCTTGTCTCCTTGTGTCTCCCAGTCTCGTGACGCTGGCTCCAGGGTCGTGTCTCCCGCTTGTCTCCTGGTCTCCCAGATGCTGTCTCTCCGGGGTCGTGTCTCCGGCTTGTCTCCCTGTGTCTCCCAGTCTCCGCGGTCAGATGCCAGATGCTGTGACGCCGGCTCCGGGCTTGTCTCCCGCTTGTCTCCCTGTGTCTCCCAGTCTCTGCGGTCAGATGCTAGATGCTGTTGATGTCTAAAGAATATCTATTTGTTGGTGGGCTCCCTAGTTTGACCCTGAAAACACGGAGAAACCCTCGGTGCCACCCTCACAAGCCAAAATATAGCTGCGGGTCAAAACCAATGGTACCATGTTGCCACCATTTCAATCTATTTTAGTGCGCACTGGGGGTACAGGATTTTGACCCATGGCCATGTGTTTGGTTTCTGCTGTTGGCGGCAAGGGGAATCAGACCTGTTATGCTTTCTTGCTGTTTGGGGTCGAGGCTGGTGTAATTTTTGAGTGGTTGAAAGAGGAGCCCTGTTCAGAGCTGTTCCTTGGCACCAGCCTTGTCCATTGCAGATCGGACAAGGAACGCCAGGAACACCAGGTAACCATCTGGGTGTTCGACAGTGCTGCATTCATCACACAGAATTGGGAATCAACGCCAAAACCACATTTTCCCCAATTGATTTGATTCAAGGCCGGATACCGACCTTGCCAGAGATGAGCCACCAGGGCTGGTTTGGGAAAAGAAGGCAACGACTCGGAGCAGCTACAGTGCAATTTGGGAAGAACAAATGCGTTGGGTACTTTGGTTTTCCCATTCAAAACTGGTTCTCAAAATGATGCAAATTCCATTCCAGGTTGGTTCCGCAATTTTTCTAGGGTAGAAATTTTGGAGTGTCTCAAACTCGGGGTGGCCTTTTGATATGATTTTGGGGTCAAACCAAAACCAAAGCAATGGAGGGGTCCCTGCCCCGCCCAGGTGAGGGGAGACGTGGGGGATTTGCTGGAAGGTCCGGAGAAACTGCGAAGAGTGCAGGACGGGTTCTTTAAACCATGGGTTTACATTCGGAATGTTGACACGATTCCCTCATTTTGGTTTAGTCATCCCGTTTACTTGCCTTCAGGGATATTGTGCCAGCTCTTATTGTGGTGTAGGCCACTATTGTTCAAACAGCATGGTCCAACTGGGATGGGTGTCTAAGCAAAGGTTGGCCCACGTAGGGCTTTCCTTTTCCGCAGAGTGAATGGGGCTTGGTCGTCTCTCAGGAAATATGTTTTTGTGTTTTTGAAGGCTCGGCACCCTAGTCGCCTTGGAGTTTAGGACGCCAAAACGGGAAACCCACAATTTGTTGGGCTCCTGTATTTTGAGACGTGCACCAATTTATCCGATATGAACGACCAAGTGCCAGGAATTTTCAAGAGGCTTTTGGGGCCTCCGCCCCTAGCCATTTTGAGCACCAAGCCCAGGAGATCATTCGCAGCTTTTCGGGTGCACCGGGCCCGGACACGACCCGCTGGTTCCTGGCCGAGATCACGCAGGATGGCCGCAAGGAGCGGAGTCCCTGAACAAGGCAACAACTAAGGCGACAAGCCGCGACATCCATTGGCTTAACTGCTTTTTTCGTTAAAAAATATATGTTATTTTTCTTGCTGGTTTGAAAGGGAATCTAGCACTACTGGAACTATTTGTATTTTTCCAGGGGGCTTAAGCAAATGGAAGTCGAGGGGATGTGCATGTTGTTGCTAGCGGGTTGGAAACCGCCACCCGTTGTCGCGCACCTGCATCAGACTGTCACTCGCACGGCGCTCGACGTGCGCACGGCAAAGCAGTGTGGCACGTGTTCCTCAGAGGTCTCTACCGCACGGGCCTGCTCAGGTCCTTCGCTGAGCGGACAGGGCGGGATGCCGTGAACTGTAAAAGTGTGCGCTCAGCCGAGGCAAGGGCTGAGCGCATGAGGCAAATGGACAACCCCGATTGGGGTGGACCAACCTTTAAAGGCGAAAGATTGAGCCCGCGGGTTTCTCCGATGTCAACCTGGTACTCAGAAGCAACAGCACGAAAGAAAGCGCGAACCAACTGAAGGTCAAGAACAACGGTGGGTTGAACATTGGAGTAAGCCCCAAATTGAGTGGGGTCCCGCCATAAGTTGCCGCCAGGCGAGGAAATCTGCACTGGAAAGGGGACACCCTCAGTCCGCAGAACAGCGACAACCTCAAGCCATGAAAGGCAAACACAAATCTCAGCGTGTTGTTGCTGAGTACGAATCCATGCAAGGGCCGCATCCCTACCAAAATTCTCCGCAAGGCGAGCCTCGGAGGCTCCTGGAGCAAGCCATTCGGCCCAATCGCAGTCAGCAACTGGGCGTGTGACAAGAAGGGCTTCGGTTGGCAAAGCCTCCTCACCAAAATCTTCAATCGGGCCGGGAGGGTCAGCAGTGGGATGCTGACCCAGGGTATCAGCAACATCGAGATGCAATCTGATCAGTTTTTCAAGCCGATTGCAAGCGTCAAGCTCAGCTTGGCGAAACAAAGGCCAGAGGCTCTGAAAGGTGCATCCACGATTGTTGTTGGCAAATTTGGCTGCTCTGTCAGCTTCATCATTCCACCTGGCAGTCCAGGAATCAATGGGATCTTCGCAAGCCGCGGCATCAAGATGACCGGAAACATGCCGAATGGTCAAACAGGCCGGGCGATGTCGCACCAGGGCAGCCAGAAACAACCCCCAGAGGTCACAGTTGCTAGCTGGGTAGTCACACGGGTCATGCTGAAGACGCCAAGCCCCACGGGCAACATAAGCCGAATCGGTATAAACGATGCCTGGAGAATTGCTGTCAGCCAGCCACTCAACTGCTGCAACAAGTGCGGTGAGTTCGGCGCGGTTGATCGTTTGTGGCAGACCACGAAGCTGGCCAATCGCGACGACCCGGCTGTGAGTTGCTGAAATAACCGACCAGGCTGCTAAACGCAAAGCAGAAAGCTTGTCAGTCGTGCACGAGCCATCCGTGAATAAATGTACTTCTTCATGTGCAGGCGCAGAAAATTCAGCGGTGCCGGTGAGAGGCAATTCATACAGGTATTGCTTTGCCCGACCAAAATGCGGATTCCGGGGTGGCAAAAGACGCTCACGCAAACAGACTGGCGATGAGTCCCAAAGCTGGTGTACGTCCGGGTGTCTGAGGTGTACAGCTGCTAATCCAGGGCAGTGTAAACATCTGTGAGTGATGTCATCGTCGAGCCCGCATAGCACGCACTTGCCATCCGAAAGATTGTCGTATTTGCGCTTTTGTGAACCTGTGAAAAAAGATCCATCCCGCTGAGCGTGAAGTCGCGAAGTCTCGAGAGCGGTCAACCATCGTTCTGACTGGCGACATAGATCCCCATTGATACCTTGAAGATGTTGAAAGTCGGACCGATGGGCGACGGCAGTAGCAAGATGCTGATGCCACGCGTCCTCAAGGTGCAAATACAGGATGTTCTTGGGAATGACTGCAAGGTTGTGAGATATGCCGTCATGATCACAAAGCCACGGGGGTGAGTCAATGGACCAGCCAATGTACCCAAGCTGCCGCAGCAAGGTAGAAAACGGCCCAGCTCCAAGTTTTCCATCAAAGGAATCCATGTACTGTCGCCAATGTCCAAGAAGAGAATCTGATTTGGCAAGTATCCGCTGGAAATCCTGCAAAACCGTCCAAAGTTGAAAGAAACCCGGATCAAGCGTCGTCCGCTCCATGAGCAACCCAAGGCGTATGGCAGGGTTTGAACCAGCCTTGCCTGCACCCAAGGCATGAGAAGCAGCAGTACGGAGTTGTTGGATGTGCCTGGAGCCCAAATCAGAGATAGAAGCCGAATAGAAAATACGCGGCCAAATTGCTTGATAGACCACATGCTGCTTGGAGTGGCGAGGGATGTTGGATCGTCTGAGCCGAGTCCAATGTTGCTGCAACTTGTTGACAAGCTGATCATGAGCTGCTGTTCGGCGAGAGCGGCCATATGTGACAAGACCCCCGAGATCCCTCTCCTGGTCACGGACTTGTCGATGCAGCCGGCGCAATTGCAGTCGATCTCTTGCTTGGAGAGCCCAAGCATACGACTTGTCATGATCGATTGCAAGCTGAAAAAGATCAAGAAAGGACTCCTGAGTGATGATGGACGTCATCAAGTCGCCGACTGAAGTTGCAACTATCTCCAGGTTGTCAACGTACGAAGCATTGATTGAGCAGGGGGCATATTGTGCCTGATACGCGTGGTAGGCCCAGCTGACAAGGGTCATGGCCAAGCAGCTCAGTGCGCAGCCCTCTGGATAGCCATTGTTGGACGAAATTGCCGGCCCAACTGTGTCGCGAACTTGAAATCTCCGAGAGAGGCCTGCAAGATAGCGATGCCATGCATCCACAACATGTCTGCGAGGAATGAAATTGAAAGCCTTGCGTATGTCACTGACGAAACCAAGCAAGGGCTTTTGGTCGCGAGCATGGAGTTCAATCAATCCCTGCAAAGGTAACCAGAGCAGCTTGGTCTCACGACGCGGCAGAAAACCAAACGTGGGAAAGTCGAGTTTGTCCGCAATAGCGTGTATGGCCTGTCTAGCCCGAAGCGAGGACCACGCCCGAAGTGGAAGGCCAAGGACTGTAATGGGTCTGTAGTCGCCAGCAGAGGAAGCAGCGTCGTGCTTGGGCAAGCCGCTGGAAATACCAAGAAGCAGTTGCTGGGGCCAATCAGCGCCGTTCTCAACCTTGTCGAAAAGATGCATCAAGCGTTGTTGAAAGGAAGATGGCATCAATCGCAGGTCAGCGGGTCCAATACCATCAGGGCCCCGCGCGGCTGTGGGTTTGAACTGCTTCAAAGCGGCAGTCCAGTTCGGTAGCTGCAAGGGTGGCATGGAAATCCGTGATCGAGGCAGAAAAGCGCGAGAGAAGCCGACAACGCGGCTCCAGACCTCTTCAGGAAGCTGTGAAAGAGTGTTCCATCTAGGCTCCCAGAAGCTGACAAGCTCAGCATGAATCTGGTCCTCCTGAGTTAGGTGCTGGCAATACTGCAACTGCTGGCCAGGATAAAGAAGCAGGTCCGTGTCAACCTCGAAGGTGTCCGGTGACAACTGCTTAACATCTGCAGGTGTGCCGTTGACTGTCCAGGTAACCAGGGGGCACTGTAGACGAATTGATTTGTCGACCAAGATGCGAATACCGTCTTCCGACACGTAGAGGACAGTGGCTGTGTCATCCTTGGTGAGCCAGTCGATTGCTGGCTTTAGGAGCCTCTCGTATCTGACGAAAAGCCAAATGCGACATTTGCTGAACTTTCGCCCTTGCACACTTTGCACGAGCACGGATGTTCCAACTCTCAAAGGATCTGAAATTGGCCTGAAAATGATCTCGGCAACTGCAAGGGAAGGAACTCCGTCGGGCAAAAGGTGTGGTGCGCCTTGCAACTTGTGTGATCTGGTTGGCCACCAATCCTGAAAAGATGATCTGAAGCCACGCGCCTCCTTGATTGCCACCCACGTCTCCAGCCGATATGTGAGATGTGTAGGCTCACATCCTCCTGCCCGAAGATTGTGCAGTAAACTCTGAAGGCGTCGGAGCTGCTTGAATCTCCAAAGGACAGCTCTGCCTAAGAGGTCGGAGGCAAGCCGCACTTCTCCTTCACGACTGCAACTGGGGCTTGTTGAGGGTGCCTGCGTGGCCGCAAATGCCGTCCACGCCCGCGTGATGCGGAGGGGAGACCCTCTTTGCCGCGAGTCCGAAGATGATCATGCAGAGAATCCTCAAAGGAGCAGAAAAGGTTGTGGTACTCACTAGTGAGGCTGCCCGTTTGATCAAACAAAGGCAGGTGGCATGAGCATAGTCGGTCTCAATATCGACCTCTTGTCAAGGGAGCAAAGCCGGCATTGGCCATCTGAGGACAGCATGTGCATGATCCGGCAGCTGAAAGGTGGCAGAAAGTGCCGCATGATCTGCAAAGGCCGGCGTGACCGAGGTCTGAACAAATAAAGCTGCAAGTTCGGGTGACACGAACAGCTTGTCCGGGCGAGATTGCCCACGATAAGTGGGCGAAGGGGCCTGACCCGTAAGGAAGTGCCGAAGCTGCTGTACCTCGATCCATCCAGCATCCGCCCATTTCAGAAACTCCGGGAGGTTCTCATGGTTGAAATCACCACTGATGTACCTGCAACCCGTGCGACCAAGCGCAATTTTGTCGGTAAGCCGACAAAGCATGGTGTTTGTTGCTGTAGCTGCAGAGGTCCAGGTTGGAGAAGTTGGCCAACCGTACACGCATGCGCCGGTGATGGCTGTTGGTCCGATAGAGAAGACAGAGGTGATGACTCTGCCCAAAGAGCCTTCCTGGTGAGGCCATCGAAAGTGAATCTGCCTAGCTGGAGTGTCAGAGATCTGCATGACACCAGCCCAAACTCCAGCTGTCTGTGATCGGGTTCTCAATGGAATGGCTGAGCCCATCAAAATTCGTAGGCGCCGGTTGTCACGTCGAGCCCCATGACGCAACTGACCCTCCAACGCCCGCATAGAGGGAACCGCAAGATGGGTCTCCGCAAC